CGAAATTTGGCACAGCGCACTGAATTATGTCGAGAATGTTGTGTGTTAAGTTTCGTGAAAATCGGTTGGGATTTAGATATAGCTCCCATATATATTTTCGTCCGATTTAAGGTAAATAGTGTACCAAAGTCCCAATATATCTTTCGATTTGCACGAAATTTGACATAGCCTAATGAATTAGGTCTAGAATGATGTGTGTTAAGTTTCTTGAAAATCGGTTCAGATTTAGATATAGCTTCTATATCTGACCAAATCAAAAATTTAGTATCGGTTGCAGAATGACATGTTTATGGATCCAATTTCATTTTACTGGGCCTTCAAACATACGACATCTGTTATGATTCATCTGTTGAATATACCCAAAGTGGTGAAGGGTATCATATAGTCGTCCAGTCCGACTTTACTACTTTCCTTACTGGTTTTCTCTTGCCTCTTCCCTTCCCACTAAGACAATTGACTTCAATGTACATGTTCCGGCATCAAAGTAAAGTCGCCTTAAACTGTCCATGGCAATGGCTGGAATGGCTTAAGACGATTTGGTTTTGTTTGGTCATAATTACTTTTGACCAAATCGTATTCTGACGGTGCTTTCGGTGCTATAATGTAAATGATATCGACTTTAAAAGAATACAGACATTGGGATGTAGAAGACATGCATACAAACATATTGATAGACAGGCGAAGAGATAGATATTTATTTAACAATTTCAAAATATGTTAAGACTCTGTGTGCTGGGGGACCACTGGACTCCTAGACGAAAGAGGGAGGTTTGGGGCTTCATAATGAAGATGACTTAAATCCAAATGATGTGAACAGATATGTTTGAATATGGACGGCAGTTCTGTGTGGTGACTAAGTTTGCAATGAGAGTATTAAGTGTAATGTAGATGTATATAATTATTAGTGTGTGTGTGTGTGAATGTTTCTGTGTATGTGTGTTTTTGCAGTATTTATGTTCCGAAGACGTGTGTGCAATAATCGAAGTATAAGTCGATTGGTAATGAATATCGGCTATATTTTCTTGGGCTTTGTTTTCCTGTTTTTTTGCCAACCATTCTTGGCTTTATGAAGAAACTTTGTCTTCGAAGATAGGCAAGAATTTACATACTCACATGTGAGAGTGTCTGTGTGTGTGTGAAGATTTAGATTTTACTTTGGCGATTATAACAAGTTGACAATATTTTTGTTGCTGTTGTTTCTGTTTTTTTTTGTAGGCCTTTGAAAAACAGTTTTCATTTAGAAGACACATCGTTTGGTTGTTCGTTGCTTCTTTTCGATTTTTTTTGGCTTCGGTATAAATTCAGGAAATGCTGTTGTAGATAACAATTTTTATGACTTGGAAGTTGTTGTTGATGTTTTTTGTTGTCGCTTCTTTTGTTGTTGTTGTTTCCATGTCTACAATGTTTTTGCTGTTTCTTACTTCTTCATAAGAATAAGTAGTTGCTTTGGCCACCATTGACCATGGAAGAAAATATTGTGACTACAGCCAGCTAGGCAGCCAGGCTGCCTGCAGGGTTACTTGGCTGTTTGATGATTGGTCATCGTTGTTCGCATTGACCAAGGCTAAAAAGGCGTTTTAATATCCACATTAGTTGTGTTGTTTTTTTTTCACTTTTTTTTATTTTATGCAAAAATATTATACGAGCGCGGCGGTATGTTTTATTTATATGTCGCTATGGAGGTATGTTTGTCGGTGTGTGTTGTGGTGTAGTCCGGTAGGGAAATAAATGTTATTTGTTATTTCGATGATGATGATGACGATGATGAATTCGTACATGCATGGATTTTTAAGTTGAATTGACTTTTGTGTCCTCCTTCGAAGCAGAGGAAACACGTAACCAATGCTGTCCATCAAAAAAAGAAGTGCTTGGGAATTCGTATTTTTGTTTTGCAGCTAAATTTCCATGGAACTGATAATGTGGAATTAAGAAAAGATTAATTAAGATATTTAGATATGCAGATTGTGTTGTTTTGATATTTTTTTTCTAATACAACGGATGTTCAGAAATTGATAAAAAAAAATACCTGGTGGTATATTTATTTTAAAAAATATTTTTAAAGGAGATCCAAAGGCGTGGGATTCATACAAGACGTGTTTTTTTAATTTTTTAAAGGAGATCCAACGGCGTGGGATCCACCCAAGGCGTGGCTTTTTTAAAAAAATATTTTTAAAGGAGATCCAAAGGCGTGGAATCCACACAAGGCGTGTTTTTTTTAAATATTTTTAAAGGAGATACAAAGGCGTGGGATCCACTCAAGGCGTGGCTTTTTAAAAAAAAATATTTTTAAAGGAGATCCAAAGGCGTGGGATCCACTCAAGGCGTGTTTTTTTTAAAAATATTTTTAAAGAAGATCCAAAGGCGTGGGATCCACTCAAGGCGTGGTTTTTTAAAAAAATATTTTTAAAGGAGATCCAAAGGAGTGGGATCCACTCAAGGCGTGTTTTTTTTTTTTTAAATATTTTTAAAGGAGATCCAAAGGCGTGGGATCCACTCAAGGCGTGGTTTTTTTAAAAAAATATTTTTAAAGGAGATCCAAAGGCGTGGAATCCACACAAGGCGTATTTTCTTAAATATATTTAAGGGGACCCCCCCATTCTCGGGGTCAAAATTTTTGTTGACTTAATTCCAATCTACACTAATTCAAGAATGTCCCTGCAAAATTTCAAGTAAAAATCTCAAGAACTCTTGAAGATATAGCCGATTTATTGTGCCAGCATCAAGTGACGGCTGAAGGGCTTCTCAAACTTTAAACGCGTTTTTCTCTAAACATTTTTTTGCGAATCGATTTCAAAGTTTTACACGTTTCTCTGTGAGTGTATAGCTATCGTATGAACTAGGATAAAGCCAATCGGTGAAGATCTTCCTTATTTTTTAACTTGGTTTTTGGTAAAAAATCGGCGATTTTCCAAAAATATTTTTTCAAAGGTCCGCCATTTTGTTAATTTTAGAGCGAAGTCAATAATCCTAGTTCATACGAGAGCCAGACATGTACTCTTTCTAACACCGTTGGAATTTTCGGATTCCGATGTTCCAGTGAGGAGTTATCATGCCCGCCATCAAAAATAAGGACTTTTCTTTGATCACAAAAAACAACAACAAAACAACAACAAAATTTTTTTGTAAATTATTTTTCTTCCTCTTTAAATCTTCAAATATATATGTGCAAAGTTACAAACCTTAACAAGCATTGGTATTCATTTACCAGCCCATTTAAAATCTTGAAAATAAAAAAATCGAGAATGGGGGGGTTCCCTTAAAGGAGATCCAAAGGTGTTGGATCCACTCAAGGCGTGATTTTTTTAAAAATATTTTTAAAGGAGATCCAAACGCGTGGGATCCACTCAAGGCGTGGTTTTTTAAAAAATATTTTTAAAGAAGATCCCAAGGCGTGGGATCCACTCAAGGCGTGGTTTTTTAAAAAAATATTTTTAAAGCAGATCCAAAGGCATAATTTTTTTTTTTCATATTTGTGTAACGATCCACTCAAGGCGTGGATTTTTTAAAAATATATTTTCAAGTATCCACGCATATTGAGGACCTTAAAAACATGTTTTTAAACAATCTACGCCCATTGAGGACCTTGAAAAAATATTTTAAAAATACCCACGCCCTGTATAGACCTTGAAAAATATTTTCCAATATTTTGCGATATTTTCACCCTCTTGACAAATTTATATTCTGTACAGCCCCTCTAATTACTTGTCCAGATTCTCTTCACCGTAGGTTGTGCTGTGATGTTCGGCTTTCTATTGTGGCCTATAGATCGACTCGAAAAAAACAAAAAAATTATTGGCATTGTCCTTGACCATATCTGGATCCTCGTGGAAAATTTCAAAGCGATCAGCGCTATATTTTCGCCCTCTTGTGTGGTAATGTAATACTAAATAATATATGAATACCTAAGCACCGGTAAATATTTAAGTGGAACTCCCACATCCGATTACATACGACAATATAATTGGTATTATTTGAAGGCCAGCCACTCCTCTTGGATATCCTGAAGTTCTTGGGCCTTTATTCTTCGGGGTTAAATATGTGCGCTATAGAATACAAATTTTGTCATTTTTCGCACAAAAGTCATGGTCCATTTGACCCGCTAAATATTGACCGATCATTATCAAAACAGGCATGCTTATTCTTTGGCTCGATCCCCATCTCTATGTAGAAATTGGCTATGTTTGGGCCATAATTGCGGTCTCTGGACACACTAGAAAATCAGACAAAAAATGTTTTTGGTCCATTTCATCCCCTAAATATTAACCAATCTTTACCAAAAACAATAGGGGTCTGTCTTCATTGGCCAGAACCCATTCTACATGCAAAATTTCGTGAAGATTGGTTCATAACTGTGGCCTGTGTTGTGTTTACAAATTATAATGGACAGACGGACGGACACACATGTCTAGATCGACTCAGCTAGTTGAGATATGACGATCGGTATACTTAAAGGTGGGTCTAGGACCAATATAACGCGGCGTTACAAAATCTTGGGGCTGCACAAAGCTACAATACCCTGACAACATAGTTGTGTAGGGTATAGTTTTAGTTCTTAAAAAAATTATTTTAAAAATTCTTGCCTCTGGCCCTTGAAAAAAATTTTTTCTTAAAAATAATGCCTTAAAATCCTCCGTATCCTTTTTCAGGACCATTAATATTATCTCATTTATATTTCTAATTAAATTTATTTTTATTGTTTTTCTCATTTCAGATCTCCAATAAAAAGTAACCTTAAAAAACCCATTAAAAATTTACAACGAAGGACCATTTCGCAAGAAAAAACAACAGCCAAAAAAATGCTGCCCACCACATGCTTCTCCCATTAAAACGTAGGGAAGCTTAATTTTAAAACGTGGCATTTAAAGTAGCAATAAAAAATTTTGGCATAGTAAACAGTAAAAAACAAAGCAGAACAAAAAACGGAAACTCGCAAACAAAACCCCCATACACCATCAATACAATCAAACCGAACAACCTGCAACTACAACAACGACACAAAAATGCATCGTAAAACAAATCTACGAAGATATCGTTTCCTGATCACGTATCTGCTAATATGTTCCTGGTGGTGTTATTGTTGTTGTGTCAACAGTTTGCCAGCCAAAGCCTCAGCGCCAAAGGATTCATCCTCACTGCTATTGGCGGCGGCCGATTCTGCCGAAGAGGATGATGTTTTTAGTAAATTTGAAGATATCAGTGATGAACTGATGGTGGATGGTGGTGAAGAGCATGATATGTTGAGGGGCAGCAGCAGCAGCAGTGGGAAGGGTGGAGGAGGATCCCATTGGAATAAATTGGTAGATGTTGATGCCTCATATCCTGATAGTGCAGATGTTTTTAGCCAAGGCAAGGCGGCTTTGGCTCCAGTGTTTCACGAGGAGTCGCTGGCTGGGGGTTTGGGACATTCCGGAGAGGCTTCTTCGGCCTCCGGTTCCTCCTCGGCAAGTAATGTCAATAAAAGTGTCATAGCTGCTGGTACCCTGGATGAATTTGTCACTGGCAAATTGGGAGCCTCAGAGACCGGGGTGACGTTGCCCTATTTCCTAACTGAACCGGAAAGCGTTTATGTTGTTAAAAATCGTCCAGCCATATTAAAATGCAAAGCAGCACATGCCCTGCAGGTAAATAAACAAGGAATACGGGGAATAAGCGGGACGACATGGCAACAACCAAACAAATTGTTGTAGTTTTAATTATTTTTTGTTGTTGTTTTTATTATTATGATTATTTGTTGTTGTTGTTGCTGTTGTTTATTTAAAAAAAACCTACTACATGTCCTTGTTTTTCATTAACTCTTGCATTTTGTTTTTTTTTTGTCTTCCTGCCTTCGTGTGCCCTGATCACCGTCTATTTGCTTTCAATTACGCAGCTGCATTTTAAATGTAGCGGCAGTTCACAACCCCCGCCCTCAACACACGACAAACACGTGGATCCGCATACGGGGGTGCATTTGGAGGAAGTGACTGCAACCATACACCGTGACCTGGTGGATGAATACTTCGGCAAGGGCCCATTCAAATGCGAATGCCATGCCTGGTCGTCGAGGGGTGTTGTGAAAAGTCAAGCGGCCACCGTGAATATTGCATGTAAGTATACCGGTGTGAGTCTCCCACACACAAGGGGAAAGGTGAGGAGAAGGGGGAAACACACGGGGGACAATAATCAAAAATTACAAAAAATCCGAATCCTGCAATCAACAAAAAAGGACATTTCGTTAATTTTCTTGTGAATGTGATAACGAGCAAAACGACAAACACACACGCACTCGTGACCACCCACTGGGTGATTGAGAATGTGCGTGTGTGTGTGCCTGTCACCATCAACCTTTGATGAAATCAATTTTAAAGTCATTTGTAATCATCCTCATCATCCGCACCATCTCATTTGTAATTTTTCGAAAAATGTGTCCTAGTCTCTCTCTCATATTCTCTATCTCCTGATAATGCGTTTTATCCTTGTTGCTGTAATTATCCTTTTTTTCCAACAGATATGCGCAAACAATTTGTCACCTCACCCACATCATTGCGTGTGGAGGTTGGCACTCGTGCCGAATTGTATTGTGAACCACCCAGCGGTTTTCCCGAACCCAATGTCAGTTGGTACAAGAATAATCTACCCATAACGGAGAACAAGGACATTGGTCCGACGGTGTCGGCCACGGGGACATTGGCCTTTCGTCAGGTTACATTGCAGGTAAGTGCAGGGCAGAAATATCATATGTTATTATTTTTTTCTTTGGAAAAATTATTTTTTTTTTAATTTTTAATTAAAAATTTCGTAAAGATTCCTTATCAAGGACACGTTTCAATTTGAGAAGGCTAGGAGATTTTTTTAATTAAAAATGAAATCGGATAGTTTTTGTAACCTCCACAAGAGTGAGATGTGAGTCCTTATTATTTTGTTAGTCCTTGAAAAAAGACTCTTTAAAAAATCCACGCCTTGTGTAGAGGCCTTGAAAAAATATTCTTTAAAAAATCCACGCCTTGTGTAGAGGCCTTGAAAAAATATTCTTTAAAAAATCCACGCCTTGTGTAGAGGCCTTGAAAAAATATTCTTTAAAAAATCCACGCCTTGTGTAGAGGCCTTGAAAAAATATTCTTTAAAAAATCCACGCCTTGTGTAGAGGCCTTGAAAAAATATTCTTTAAAAAATCCACGCCTTGTGTAGAGGCCTTGAAAAAATATTCTTTAAAAAATCCACGCCTTGTGTAGAGGCCTTGAAAAAATATTCTTTAAAAAATCCACGCCTTGTGTAGAGGCCTTGAAAAAATATTCTTTAAAAAATCCACGCCTTGTGTAGAGGCCTTGAAAAAATATTCTTTAACAAATCCACGCCTTCTATGGGCCCTGAAAAATATTCTTTAACAAATCCACGCCTTCTATGGGCCCTGAAAAATATTCTTTAACAAATCCACGCCTTCTATGGGCCCTGAAAAATATTCTTTAACAAATCCACGCCTTCTATGGGCCCTGAAAAATATTCTTTAACAAATCCACGCCTTCTATGGGCCCTGAAAAATATTCTTTAACAAATCCACGCCTTCTATGGGCCCTGAAAAATATTCTTTAACAAATCGACGCCTTCTATGGGCCATAAAAAATATTCTTTGACAAATCCACGCCTTCTATGGGCCCTGAAAAATAATCTTTAACAAATCCACGCCTTCTATGGGCCCTGAAAAATATTCTTTAACAAATCGACGCCTTCTATGGGCCATAAAAAATATTCTTTGACAAATCCACGCCTTCTATGGGCCCTGAAAAATATTCTTTAAAAAATCCACGCCTTCTATGGGCCCTGAAAAATATTCTTTAAAAAATCCACGCCTTCTGTGGGCCCTGAAAAATATTCTTTAAAAAATCCAGGATCTTCAAAATAGTTTTTAAAAAATGTTGCGGTCCTTAAAAAATTAACAAAAAATATTTTTTTTGTTTTCTTCCAGGACATGGCCAACTATACCTGTGTAGCGGAAAATATTGCCGGTAAGCGTAATTCCGATTCGGCGGTTCTCATTGTTTATGGTAAGTGAGAGTTTCATATCGCAAAAGAACCGATTTTAATCAGGTTTTTCTCTCCCCGTGTTTTTAGTTAATGGCGGTTGGAGTTCCTGGAGTTCGTGGCGTGACTGCAAATGTCCCGGTAAGCCGGCCCAGGGTCGCAAACGTACTCGCATGTGCAATAATCCGATACCCATGAATGGTGGAGCCGAATGTTCGGGGCCGACAATACAAAAATCCGCTGATTGTCTACCCTGTCCCGATGAGACACAAATTGTCAATACCGAAGGTTTTGATGTGGCACCAGCCGTGAAGAGAGGTAAGTGAAGGACATTTTTAATATTTTAGGCGTTCAAAGGAGTAAAGGGTATTGAAATCCAAAATTTTTTAAATCGAAGGATTTTTTTTTTCAAAGTTTCTTCTTAAAATTTCTTAAAAAAAAATCCTTCCCCATTAAAGAGTTCCCAAGAAAAATCTCTTTTGCTCCCCCTTTCCTATTGTTGTTGTTTTGTTTCTAATCGGTTGACTGATGTCCCGCCACATTTCAACGGCTGCTTTCAATCTTCTTTCTCATGATGATTCAAGCTCTTTTGTTACATCATCAAACTTAATTAGAGCATTTCCTTGGACCATATGGTCCGACGTCGGACATTATGATGAAAGCCATAGAGGGACATGTGCCATGCTTCAAAACATTTTTTTTTTTTTTTTTGACTTGGCCAATTGTAATTTATTCAAATAAAAATAGAATGTGGACAAAAGACCGCAGCAACAACAAAGGCCGACAATAATTGAGTCAGTGAGTGAATGGCAAGCGTTTAATAAAAACGGAAGAAGAAGAAAGTATGGACTTGTCCGCATAAGAAGATTTTCTATGCGTCTGTCCATCCTTTCCCATCTATCTTCCGTTTCCAGACAAGTAAATTTCGGTCCGCTCATGATGATGATGATGCGGCGAACAATGATGAACCCCATTTAAATTTCGGTTTTTATGATTGTCATTTATGATTTCCATTTTTCGGTCATGTTGTCAATTGTTCCTAAGAAATTTCTATGAAAAATTTAGTGAAGAAGAGGGTAGGAGGGCGAATTGCTGCATGGCATTTCAAATTGATTTCTGCGAAAATATTCTCCCCCTAAATATTTTTTTCTTGTTAGTTTGCAAAGACATTTATTTCGAGATTTTGCAACCCCCATTGTGTCATTGAATTTGTATCCCCCAATTTCTTTGTGTTCTTCTTCGTCGTTCTTTTTCCTTGGAAGAAGATTGCATCATAATATTGACCATTTTTTTTCTTTTCTGCACACCAAAACATAAACGCATAAAAATCCCCCAATAAGCAAATATAAATAAAATATAAAAAATCTATTAAAGACTTTTTGCTTTGTTTGTTTCGCAAAATCCTCTCCCCTATTTTCTGTTGTGTTTACCATTGAGCCTGAGTCATCATCATCTACTTTGTAGGTTATGCTCTATTTGAACAGCAAGCAAACAGCCAAGGCAGACACTAAAAATCTCAGCGCAAAAATCAATGGCAAACAATAAACCGCTAGAATTGATAGGCAAATAATTACTAAGCAAATCCTGGGCACACACACATATATTCAAGGATACTCACACATACATACAAAAAAAAAACAGTGATGAACTATAGGTTGATTTTTTGTAGGTTTACTACCAGGATTTTGAGGTTTTCGACCAAAATTTTCTATATTTACAATCAGATTTCTTATTATTTGTGACAGACAAATAGGTAATAATTGTAAAATAGAGCGGTAGTGTGGTGTTCTGCAAAGGTTTCTTGGTTTACAACCACGATTTTGGGGTTTTGTACCAATTTTTCGAAATTTACAACCAGAATTTCATAGGTTTTTGATAGAGAAATAGTCAACATATATAGAATATCGCGTTTTCTGGGTTTACTACCAGGATTTAGGGGTTTTATACCAAATTTTCTAAATATACAACAAGAAATTTTGTAGTTTTTCAACAGAGAAATAGTCAATAGATATAGGATACAGGGTTGTCTGGGTTTACAACCAGGGTTTTATACCACATTTTGTAGGTTTACAACAAGTTTATTTAGGATTTTTACAGGGGAGAACTCAATGAACATATTTATAGTGAGTTAGTGTGATGATTTCCTATGTTTTCTAGGTTTACAACCAGGATTTTAAGGTTTTTTACTAAATTTTCTAGGTTTACAACCTAAAGTTTTAGTTTTTAGATAGTTGAAAAGAAGTAAATTAGGTTAGTGTGCTTAATCGCTAAGTTGCCTAGCTTTACAACCAAGATTTTGAGGTTTTATACCAACATCTTCAGGTTTACAACCAGGCATTTTAGGTTTTTGACAGTCAAGAAAAAGTAAAGAAGGTTAATTTGATAATTTACTAATTTTTCTAAGTTTACACCCAGGATTTGTATGTTTTCTACCAATTTCTCTTGGTTTACAACCAAAATCTTTAGGGTTTTGACAGATAATAAGAGTGTGACATTTTTGACATGTTTGAGAAATTTTTGACATTTCGTAAAATATCCAAAACAATGCGAACTCTTCAGTACTATTATTTTCTTAAAATTCTTCATTAAAATAGGTTTGCGACATGTTTGTGACATTTTTGACATTATGTAAAAAAACCCTAATTTACACTGCCAAACACAAAAACACCTCAATTGAAACATTTTTAAATGATTTTTTTTATAAAAAAAAAGGTTTTCGACAGTTTTGGCATTTTTACGACATTTTTGACATGTTTGCGACATTTTTGACTTTTCGTAAAATATCCAAAATAAATTTACAACAATTTGTACTCTTCGATACTGTGATTTTCTTAAAATTCTTCATTAAAATAGGTTTACGACATGTTTGTGACATTTTTGACATTATGTAAAAAAATTCTCCCAACAACAAAAACACCTCAATTGCAACATTTTTAAATGATTTTTTTTTTATAAAAAATAAGGTTTTCGACAGTTTTGGCATTTTTACGACAATTTTTGACACGTTTGCGACATTTTTGACTTTTCGTAAAATACCCAAAATAAACTTTACAACAATGCGAACTCTTCAGTACTATGATTTTCTTAAAATTCTTCATTAAAATAGGTTTACGACATGTTTGTGACATTTTTGACATTATGTAAGAAACCCTAATTTACACTGCGAAACACAAACACACCTCAATTGCAACATTTTTAAATTTTTTTTTTTTTTTTTTTTAAGGTTTTCGACAGTTTTGGCATTTTCACGACATTTTTGATATGTTTGCGACATTTTTGACATTCCGTAAAATATCCAAAATTAACTAGACCACAATGCGAACTCTTCAGTACTGTGATTTTCTTAAAATTCTTCATAAAAATAGGTTTACGACATGTTTCTGACATTTTTGACATTTTGTAAAAAACCTTAATTTAAATTCCCAACAACAAAAACACCTTAATAGCAATATTTTCAACTGATTTTTTGATTAAAATAAGGTTTACGTCATTTGCGACATGTTTGCGACATTTTTTGACATTTTGTAAAAAACCCTAATTTACACTCCCAAAATTACACTTCAATTCAATAAAACACTTCAATTTAAACATTTTCTTTTAAAATAAAATTAGTTTTACGACCTTTTCGACATTTTTGTAGAAAACGTATCAAATCTCTTTTATCCCGCCTAACCTATTCGCGATGAAATTTATTTTCCATGTCGCTGCCATTAAGCTGTACAATTTAAGTCAGTCACTTCACTTAACTGCACACACACACACACTAAAACACTTAGCACCCTCTTTGTAGATGACTTGCTGTGCTCTCTGGCTCTCCTCTCCCCCCAATTCTCCATCTGCCGCTCCTTGACCCTACACAAATCCTTTTAGTCATTCAATTCAAGGACTCCCCGTTTGCTTTGTGCGTTTCAATTTTTGATTTCATTTTTCTTTGTTGTTGTTGTTGCACAAAAAGGAAAAACAAATCATTGTCTTGTGTCTGCAACATGTCCACCCCCACTCCCACCTCCCCCTTCTGCATCTCCTGCTCTGTTGAGTAAACTAATTTATGGTTTCAGCACCACTACTTTTTTTTTGGCTATAAGACAGAGGAGCTTTTCCATGGAATCAGGGTAGAAAAACAAAACAACTATTTGTTGAAATGTGTAGTAGATTTCCGTTTATCTCCCACTCCCCCCAAAAATCGACAAGACTTATTACTTCATCGCACCCCCCACCCACCCATCTCTTCCACCAAGAATCAAACGCCACCAGTCATGGAGGAAGAAATGAAAGAAATCACTGAATTGCTCATTTTTGCCAAACAACACATTAAACAGTGTTGGCGAACAGCAGTATTCGAACATTGTCATTCAAGCTACATCCCCACTCCCCCGACATCGCACTTCTCCCCCCTCTCCCCTCAGCACACACACAACTGCCTTCGAACAAACTATACACAAAACTTATATCCCCATTAACCACTGTCATTTTTATTAGAGAATATTCCGCAGCTTTTTTTCTGCTTCTTGGTAACTTGTCCTGCTGTCAGTTAAACTTCTGGCCTGGCTGGCTGGCAGCTATCTTCCTAACAATTCTCAGGGCCATAAGTTGATTTGACTTTTTGTATGTCTGTATGTCCGCCTGCCTCAGTGTGTGTGTGTGTAGTTCAATCGTTTTGAGTCGTTACCACTTTATTTTTAGTCCATCATCATTCAAACCAAGGCAAAAACAACAACCAAAACAGAAACCGAAAAATCGCAACGACCCTTCTGTTGCTGCTGCTTCTTCTTCGTTTTGCTCTAATGCCCCGCAAATGCTGGTAAATTTCGATAAATGACGTCATTTATTTTATTTGAAAATAACGTCATAGTCATCCTCCGAAAAATTCATCCACAAAAAAAAAATATTCCAAAACCCATAACCGAAAAGAGTAACAGAAAAACAGTGGCATCAATTTGGCCATCATTATCATCCGACAGTGGTAGTTGAGAGACATACCGACCGTCACAACACCATAAAAAATCTAGAGCATCGGCATCCATCCACCCTGAGGGTTGGTTGGTTGGTCTGGTTTTATGAAATTACCAAAAAATGACCATGCAATCCTATGATGACAACAAGGGGGATCAAACAATCAAGTGTTTGAAGGAGGAGGGTGAGGGGAGTAGAGGTGAGGGCAGGGGTGGATTAACAAACAACAAATAAAACATTTAAGCAATTGTTTTCGCTTTCAATTAATAGCTTTGGTATGGGTAATTAATTTTTCTATCAATAAAACATTACATTTTATTTCGGGTTTACAGTTGTTAATCGAAAACGGAAAACACAAAAATCAG